GCGTAGAGAATCGTTTCTTGCAGGAGGCGTGGCCTCTGCTGAAGCATGTGTGTGTTGTCGCTGTGACGGAGGCTAAGCTAAGAAGCTAACCGGAAATCGCGTGCGCTGTAAACAACCCTACTGAGAGGAGAAATATACCGAGCCAAACGAGACGGCTGTAAATGAGAGCTGCTGCTTTGTCAGACAAATTTAATTTAATTCTGAAGCCTTATCAACACAGACTGGCTTCATTCACTTCCTCCACTGCCGTATGCTAAAACAACTAGCAGACACTGTGCAGAACATCAACGTCATTCAAAGCTCCTCCTTCTGTTTGCTGATTGGTCCAGGTGAAATAAACTACAAGCAGACACTGCGCAGAAAATTGACGTTCTCTTCTCTGATTGGCCCGGCTAAAAATCTGCCAGTAAGATCCATCTCAATGGGAGAAGTCCTAGACGGATCAGTGAAGGGAAACTAGAATTGATCGGAACTGCGTAGGAAGGCAAGGGCCAGGCTAATACGTCCCAGAAGCAGCTGTGTGGTGATGTCAGGACAACCCACGTAGTTACAAAACGGAGGCTGACAGCCATTGGATTTGCTTTATTTTTTTATTTTTAAAAATCGATTTTGAGACATTTTAAATCAATTCAGAATCTTTGTAAATGAGAATCACGGTTTTGATGTGAATCGATTTTTTTGGTGCACCCCTAATTGAAACACCCCTCCAGTGGGAATTATTTGTCAGAAAGTGAGTTCAGAATTCAAGATGGCAGCTACATACCACAACTCAGCAGTGAGTAAAACTCTTACTTTTATTTTTAATAGTATTTCTGTATCATTCATTTCACATTTAGTCAGTTGTACATGTAGTACTTTTCAGTGTAGAGGATGTGTTAAACACTGTTTCTATGCAGGGAATACCAGGTAGAGCTCAGTTATTGTTAGGGGTGCTCAGGAATGTGACGTTTCCTGTTTAGTCGAAGTTAAACATGAAACGTCACAGTTTATTACAACTGGCCCTTTGGGGACCGTCATAATGCTCATGTGGCCCTCAGTGAAAATAAGTTTGACACTCTGCCATTGCCATCTAACCCACCTTTCTGCTAGGATTGTAACGCAGGAGAATTTGAATCTTCTTTCAAATGGCTTCATTTTACAGATGCAGTTTTAATATGCTGATCATATTTTGCATCAATGAAAACACAGCATCTCCTTTTAAAATGCACAAGAACCAAAGCCTGTATTTCTTGAAGCAATCCTTTAAAAATGCAGTCATGTAATATCACCAGGTTTCCAGATTAGAGTATACTATATATTGTGAACGGCTCTCAGCTCCTACCACATCAAACTTTAGCTCAATACTTGTCAAATTGACAGAGTTATAGTTATTAATGTGTTGGTTAGCGTCAATTAGCTGCAGCAGCCATCTTAAATTGCACTGACTCCAAAAGTTAGTCCCTTGTAGAGATACTGCACATCCAATGATTCATTTCTAAACAGCTCAATAAAATAGGCCTAATGATTTATGAGAACATTTTCTAAAAGACAGAGTCAACTCAAAATAGTCAAAACAAGACTATGAAGAACAGTTTTGCTAAATTTGTTAACATTTAGATAACGTGTTTGGTGTCACCCTCAAATATTGCCACATTGTTTTTAAGTCGATATCTGTAAAACTAATGGATTTAAAGCTGTCTCTAACGTCAATTAGCTTTGACTCCTGGCATCTTAAATCATGTGGACTCCAAAACTTTATTATACAGTATGTACAACCAGTTAGTACTTTCTGCAAGTTTCATTCAAATTGATCTAGTGAATTTTGAGATATTTTGATAACAAACAAGTTTGTTTTCCTATTATTATTCTTATTAGGACCGCATAATTACTTCCATTCATTTCTGGTCCTCACTCTAAACCTAACCACCAACACAATCTAAGCTCAATTCACACCTAAGTCCTAACCCTAATCCCTCAGTAGTATTTCACCATATTAGAACCGGGCTTTGGTCCCCAAAATTACTACTGATACTGACAAGGTAGGTGTGTATTCCAGAAAAGGTCCGAAAAAGGTAACAAAAGCCAGGTACACACACTCAGCACACACACACGTATTGACTAACTTTCAAGTTGTTTCTGAAAATTTTTACTCTGAAGCTGCTGCCCCCGCGACCCAACCCCGGATGGGCAGAAGAAAATGGATGGATGGATGGATGGATAAATAAAAATAAATAAATAATCCATGTTTATTTGACATCAATGAAGAGCTTTTAAATGCGTTCAAAACTCATAAAACGTTCTCCCTGACAATATTAATTTAAAAATTTGACTTTGGTGTCACAGTGGCTCAGTTGGTAGAGCTGATGCCTCTCAGCAAGAAGGTCACCAGATCAAATCCCAGCCCGGCGACCTTTCTGGGTAGAGTTTGCATGTTCTCTCCGTGCATGTGTGGGTTTTCTCCGGGTACTCCGGCTTCCTCCCAAACAACAAAAACATCACTGTTAGGTTAATTGTTAACAATAAAATGTCCCTAGATGTGAGTGTTTGTCTCATTTGTCCCTGTGATGGACTTGTGACCTGTCCAGGGTGTATCCTGCCCTCGCACAGTGACTGCTGAATATGGGCACCAGTGACCCTAGAAAAGGAGTAAGTGGGTGTAGATAATGGATGGATGATTTTGTTTAAATGTTTTTTTCTTGAAATTACATCTTTGAACATAACATCTTTGTTACAAGCTCAGAGCGTTTGGCCATGAGGATCAGATTCACATAGAACAGCAGTGTGCAAACAAATATTACTTACCAAAGGTCTTGTTGACTTAGCTAAAGACCCTGTCACACTAGACAACTTATGCCAACTTGTAAAGACTTTAAAGACGTCTACATTGAAGATGGAATTTAAAAAAATCAACAAGAAGCTTCTTTTTGGCGTGTACATAATGCAATTAAAACAAATTGATCAAATATTTAACTTTTATTAGCAATTTAAACATAAAAATGATTCATAAGTTGTCTAGTGTGACAGGGCCTTCAAGGAATCAAAGAAACACACATTGATTTAAATCATGAAGACAACCTGCTGCCTGCAGATATCAAACACAACATCACATCTGCAATCAACTCATTCTATTAATATTTGTTGCTTTTTGTCGATGGATTGCTTTGAAAAAAATGATTTTGAACAGATTTTTTTAGAAAGCTATTATTAAACATGCTGCCTGTAATCAACAGTATTTTTATTTTTTTAACCAACACAACGGTCCTGATGCATCTCAGTAATCCAGGTAAAAAATCAAAAAGAAAAAAATTGTATAGGTCTTCTGGACGGGTTCTTCTCTAATGAAATGTTTCGTCTCTCCTCCAAGAGACTTCTTCAGTCTGAGAGTTTCAGGCAAAATTTTTGAGGTTTGAGGTTTGAGAGAGGAGTAAAAGAAGCCATTTTTGTGAAGAAAGACCGTCCATCATTAAACAGAGGTGGAGG